TCAAGCCCAGCCAGCACAGGCTCTGCCTTGCCTTGGTCAATGCGCCATGCCGGGCTGGCCTTGCGTTGGGTTTTGTGGTTTCCTTTCAAACTCAGTCTTGTTTTTCTCCTCCATTTTAGGCCAATATTGGGCAGAAAGAAGACTTTGAGTCAGCACGAAAGAAAGCTCTGGCGCTGGGGGCCAAGAAGGTAACGGCGTCTGTCCCTCCAGGCACCCGGGGAATTGGAGCTCTCCTTGCTGTGGGGCTGAGCCCTCTGGTCTCGCACACCCTATAGGTGGGGCTGCCACGGCAGGGAGACAGTGCCAGTGAGGAATCCCTTTTCCAGAGGATTTGTACCTAAGCCTTTTAGCAGCATCTGGGGCAGGGGAGGAGAAGGGACCCTTTGGTATGCTGACCCTAAGGCCCCAAAGAAGCAGGATCCCCCCTATAGCCACCCTCCCATCACAAGGCTCCCTCCATCCTGGCAGATTTACATCGAGGATATCAGCAAGGAGTTCGTGGAGGAGTTCATCTGGCCGGCAGTGCAGGCCAACGCTCTCTATGAGGACCGGTACCTGCTGGGCACTGCGCTGGCACGGCCCTGCATCGCCCGCAAGCTGGTGGAGATTGCCCAGAAGGAGGGAGCCCAGTACGTCGCCCACGGGGCCACTGGCAAGGTGAGGGAGGACGGGGCCACCGGAGCAGGGATGGCACAGGGTGCTTGGAGGCGACCCGGACAGCACCTTGGCCAAGCTGGGGGTGCCAGGAGGGCGGCACAGGGCGTTTTGTGGGCGCTCTGCGGGGAAGCGTTTCGACATTTCCTTCTTGCTTCTGGGATTTCTGTGCCTAATTTCGGTTCCCTGTCGGGAAGGCTGGGGGTCACCGCCCAAACTCCCCTCTTTTGGCAGCAGATTTCTAAAAGTTACGACAGACACAGAGGGGCCGCCCGGACCGCGACCCGGCTGGGGCCGAGCCAGCACCGCTCGGGGCCTTTCGGGGCACCCCGGGCAGGGTGCGGCTGTCTCTGTCCCGGTCCCCATCCCGGTCCCCGGCAGTCCCCGTCGCCGCCGGGCGCAGGGAGGGCCCTTCGCCGCTAGAGGCAGCCAGAGACCGCGGAAAGAATGGCGGGGGCCCCACGGGGAGCGTGGGACCTGCATGATGTGACCATGAGCCACCCCCGGCACCTCCAGCCCCTGCCCGCACCCTGCCCAGCCCGGTGCGGGGACACCCGGGGCAAGGTGAACGCTGTGACCAGAGGCCACAAGCTCAGCTGGTCCCGGCTGCAGCTCCGGGGTACCCTTGAGTGCTGTGCGTGCATCCAGGACCCGCCAGGTGCTTCCTCTTCCCTGTCCCACAGGAATTGCAAGCATAGATCGTGCATGTCTTGGCCCAGGGGCAAAGGCGAGGTGCTCACCTGGAGGGGTCTCAGTGCAAGGCGCTGGGTTTGGGGGTCCCCAGCTACGGCAGAGGAGCCTGCTAGAAGGGGGATGTTGGATGTAGCCAGGGGACAGCCGAGGGACATGCTGGCACTGGGGTGATGGGACAGAGGGGCAGCTGGGGCACTTTGTGGCTGAAATAACTCCCCTTGCACTGGGTTCCCTGCACCCCTTTCCCAGCAGACCCCTCTTGAAAGCACCTGCCCAGCCTGGAGTAAGGCACCCCTGGCACAATGATGTCCCCTCCACGCCAGGGTACCACCAGCACCAGTCAGCCCTGCTTGCAGGGGCACGTCCAGCTGCTCCTGAGGTTCTGCCCGCTCCCCAAAGCCATTAAGCCATGGGTGCAGGCAGGGACCAACCGTGGGTAACTCGACCCGGCTGTGCCCGGTTCCCGGCTGCAGAGCCTTAAATGTGGCCATCTGCGATGTCCCCGCTGCCGGAGCAGATGGGCTTGTTTTGGGCCTGTAAGGGAAATGAGTGCTTAAATGAGCGCTTTGGTGGATGTACTCGCCTGCGTGTAATAGTCCTCAGGGATTTCCCAGTCCCGTAAATGCATCCTCCAGGCCGGGGCCAAGAGGAGGGAAGGGGGGACCTTACGCCCCTTGATGCTGGTGGAAAATAGGCTTTAGTGAGGGCTATTCCCTTGGAAGTGCTAATAACCTCCAGGCTCACTCCTCGCCCCCATCCAACTACCTGGCCTCATTAGCAGGACCTCATCAGCATGGGCCAATTAAGATAAAGGGAGGTTCAGAGCTATGTAATTATGAGCTACTGCATCCTCCTGGACACTGTAGTCCTCCTCCCCCCTCTCCCTCTCCCTTCCTGTGTCCTCTGATGCCTGTGAAGGGAAAAATACCCAAATCTGGGTTTCTGCTCATTCAGTTTTTAGGAGTGTCAGCCTGGGGAAGAGCATGGCTCTTGGGTGATATGAGGTCAGCTGGGGACCCTCAGAGCCAGGTGCATCAGGGTTTTGATCACTCAGTGCCCAATTCTATCAGGAGCACCAGGAAAGGTGGTTTTGGGTTCAAACCAGTCATGGAGAGGGACCAGAAGCAACCCTGCGGGATAGAGCCAGCCCAGGCGCTGGCATCTATTATCCCCTCTCACCGCCCTCCGTGCTGGTGGAGATAGACGGGTCCTCAGCCTCAGGCCTTGCTTTTCCAGTGAAAATAGCCAGCAATTCCATCCCAGTGGCATTATTGGGAGAACAGGTGTGATCTCCCTCCTCCACAGAGACCCTCAGCTGTGAAGTCCCTGGTAGCATCAGGCCAATGTCTCTCCTGGCTGATGGTTCTCGCAGGGGTTTGCTAATGCCCCGCTCAGCCGAGGGTCTCCAGAGCTGGGGGCTGAGACGCTTTTCCCACAAAGCAGCTTGTCCCATGTGCTGGCCGGAGCTGAGACCCCAAGACATGTCCCCTCTAGCTCCCAACTGGGGGATTTTGGTCCTGTCCCTGTGTAGGGAGAGCAGCCAGGAGCAGGGAAACAGCAGGTCCTCACCTGCCCCGGTGCGTGGTGAGCCCTCAGCATCTCCCATTTGTGTTTCAGGGCAACGACCAGGTTCGGTTCGAGCTCACCTGCTACGCCCTGTGTCCTAACATCAAGGTAAGGCACCCAAAATCGTCCCTCCACCGCCAGGCTCCTGGCCCCCTGCCAGCTGGCGTGGAATTTTGTTTTAACACCGATGCGAGCGGCCATGCCTCACTTTAACAAGCTGCCAGCTGCACGAAGTGACGTTTTGGCATTTGAGGGGGCTGTAATGATCCTTAATTGACCTATTTTTACCCCAAACACTGCGAGGCCGCAGAGGAAACAGTATCAAGACAGCTGTGGAATAATCGATGCTGCATCCAGTGCCTTGTTAGGGTCAGGGGTTTGGGTTACTCCACCCTTGCATGGGGAGATCAAATTTCAACTGGAAGACCGGTACCCTACGGGTCTCAGCTCCCCAGGGCTGCCCGGAGCCCTCTCCCGTGGGGAGCCTGGGACAGTGCCAAGGGGCAAAAAGGGCCCAGGGGCTGCAAGGGGGCCAGGGGCTTCTTGTCTCACGCTCCTGCCCTCCCACCAGGTCATCGCACCATGGAGGCTGCCAGAGTTTTACCAGCGCTTCCCCGGGCGCCGCGAGCTGATGGACTACGCCAAGGTAGGAGCTGGCACAGGGTGACCGTGGGATGCTCAGGGTGGTTGAGGGATGCTCAGGGCAGTTGTGGGATGCTCTCATGGCTTGGTGGGTGACAGCAGCAACCTCACATGACATCCTGCAGCACCACGCTGAAGCCTTCAGGTTGGGGTTTTTTCCCCCCCTCTATTTTTCTTTCCTCTCTCCTTCCTTTCTAAAAGCTCCATAATTACCTGGCTATTAATTGTAACCCGTTTTCCAAGGAAACGAGTCCCAGCTCCCTGACTTGCGTAACAGACAAAGCAAATACGTTCGCCTTTGTTGTCCCTTCCTTTTTGAAGTACAAGTTGCAATAAAACATATTAGAAGTTTTGCATCAGGTTTTTACGTGCACACCAGGGTACCTTTCTTTTTTAGCGACTTCATGGAAATGCTTGACAACTCGGCTCAATCAATCACAAGGGAAAAGGCAGCTCTGTGCATAAACCAGAAAATTGCTTCGGTTTTTAAATAGCTGCCGTCGAAGCTGCCTGGGTAATCTCTGGGAAGGCGAGGTGCCGAGCCAGAGGGATGCAGAGCGGGGCCAGGAGCCCTCCGAGCCCATTAGGGCCGCCGAGAGCGGCGTGTTGAGGATTGTGTTTGCCATCTGCCGTTGTATTATGAAGGGGCGAGTTTACGAGAGCTTTCCATATGTTGCCAAACAAATCGTCAAATAGGGGAGTTATTAAGAGCGCCGCGGTTTTATTATATGGAAAATGGAACATGTGTTTTGGGTTTGGGGGTTTTGTTTAGTGGGGTGGGTTTTTTTTGTTTGGAAGGGGGGAAAAAAGGGAAATGAAATGGATTGGGGCCCCGTTCAAAGCGGAAAGGTTGGGGTTGAGGGTTTGTAGTGCCTCTCAGTCTCTGGTTATGGTTGGCATTAAAAAAAAAAGGGAGTTTTCCTTCTTTTTCACGATCAGGAGAGGGAGATGCGTGGTCAGGTCCTTTCAGTGCTTGGATGTGCTCAAGGAGTTCCAACGCGATGATGTTTGGGGCTGGGTTGCTGCCGGGGACGGCAGGGATCTGTGCCAGTGCCGCACAGCTCTTGCTGTAGATTTGCTGCCCGGGCGCTGGAGCCAGCCTTGCTCTGGCATCAACTGCTCCAGCACCCACTGCATCCTCGCAACCAGCTGAGGCTGAAGCACCCTCAAGGAGCAAGGTAAGGCTCTCCTGGGAGCTGCTCCAGGATGAGCCATCGCCTCGGGCAGGGCCAGGCGGGATGGAGCTTATGGGGCTGTGCCCTGAAAGAGAGATCTCTCCTCGGTCATGGCACATTTGGCCCCAGCTGAGGCTGTCAGGGCTTGGCGGTTGTCAGTACATGGATCTGGACTTGGAGAATCCCCTTGGAAGTGATAATATAGGGCGAGAATGAGGTGGGGAGCACGGACTTCCTCGGCTGCTGGGAAGAGGCGGAGGGAGGAGAGGGCTGGCTGGGAAGATCAATCACCTGGGGCTCACGGCTCAGGATCAGCAGGTGTTTGGGTCTGGACGATGCGTTTGTACATCCCGGGCGAGATGGGCGTGACGGATGGCACAGGATGGCATGGGGATGGCACAGCCCCCCCAGCCTCACACTGCTGACTGCGGCCCATCGAGCACTCAGTGTTAATTGCTTGACTTTAATTAACTGAGGTGAAATCACCTCTGCCAACACCCACGAGGGCACTGGGTTGAGGACAAGGGAGAGGTGCTGATGGGAGCCTGGTCTGACCCCAGATGGGATTGACATCTGTCCCCCAGCCCTCGGTCTCCCCAGCATTATTTGGGGGGGCTTTGTGGGGCTCCATCCATATGAGGGATGGGACAGGGAGAGGCATCTTCTCACGCTTTCCTGGAGAAGCCAGGTGATCCCCAGCGCTCGCACCCAGCGTTTTGCCCTCCCAGCAAGCCCAAGCTTGTGTTTTGCAACCTGTGGGTCATGGTTTAACCCGGCCAGCAACTAAATACCCCCCAGCCGCTCGCTCAGCCTCCTCCAGCCCCTGGGGAATGGGGGAGAGAATTAAAGGGGAAAAGGGAAGGAGACCCGTGGGTTGAGATAAGAACAATTTCATGATTATGATAATAATAATATCAAATTTAAAATAATAATCATAAAATAATAATACATGAATACATATATAATGATAATCATATCTACAAACAAGTGATGCGCAGTGTAATTGCTCACCTCCTGGTGACAAACGCCTGTCCTGGTAAGCGATCCCGAAACAGATCAGTCCTGACACCACAATCGCAGACAAGTGAGAAGCCCAAAAAGAGACAGAGAGAGAAAACTCCGAGAGTCCGAGAACAGACCAAGAGAGTCCCCTAAAAGAGAACAAGAACCTTCCAAATTTCTCCGGTCAACCCTCATCTATATACTGGGCATGATGTTGTGTCATATGGAATGTTCCATTGGCCAGTTTGCCCCTCAATCCTAAACTTAAACTCAAATCCTAAACTAGGAGTTGTGGGTCCTTCGTCCCGGGCATGCTCCCCCCAAGCCTGTTGTGCTCCTGCACACTGGCAAAAACACAGGAAGCTGAGAAGTCCCTGATGTCTCTGCACCAACTATAAACATCAGCGCTATCAACTTTCTTCTCATAACAAATCCCAGGCTGAATCCAAAACAGCAGCTATGAAAAGGAAAAACTAACTCTCTGCCAGCCGAAACAAGGATGCTGTGACGTGCCCTGGCTGTCCCCCTGTATCTGCGGGCAGTCCCTGTGCCTGGCAGCTCTGCGGAGGGACCTGGGTTGAGGAGGCAAAGACTGCCCAGTGCCCGCTTCCAGAATCTGGGCTGGGGGTCCTGGGGGTGTCCCACCCTAACAGCGTGCTTTGGGACCGGCAAACCAGGACTGGTTTGGGTATTGGGGTGCTGATCCCCCAGGACAAGGGCTGAGTTGGTCCCTCTGCAGCCATAGAAGGCATCTCAGGACCTTGCTGCCATCTCAGGTGATGGGTTGAGTACGGTGATTTAACAAGCATGAGTGTTTCCTTCCCTATTTCCCAGCAAACCTCTGCTCAGTCCCTGCTCCTCTCCTCCTGGCTAAGCCTGAGGTCCCTGCTGTGATGACACCAAAAATGGCAGAACCACGTGCCGATGTACAGGCTGTATGAACACATTGAGGCATGGTGGGAATCCGCTGCCTCCTCCGGCCCCGGCTCGCCATGGCCATCCTGCAGCCGGGACGTCGCAGCTCCGTGTGCTGGCAGGGGGGGGCGGGTTCCCTGTTTGCTCGCCGCCATCGCCTCTCCCGCTAATTCCCCCGCGCATTCACCTCGTCTTCACAGGCAATTTCCCCCATTGAAATGTCAGCGGATAATTGAGCGCGCCGGTGACCTTGTTAGGGAGCCGGGCTCGGCACTGTGCGCTCCGCCGGGGAGGCAGCCGGTGCGGGGCTGCGCATCCCCGGGCACGGCACGCTGGGGACACCGGGGCTCAGGGGGATGCCTGTCACCCCGGTGCCTGGGTCTGCATCACTGTGTCTGTGCGGGACCGTGGGGACAGGGATGCCGTCCCCTCGAGGCACAGCCTCAGCCCTGTTTAGGCTGGAGAGCATCCTGTGGTTTTGGGGATTTCTGTCCTCATGCCACTCCTCCTGATGAGAAGCTAAGCTGGGGGAAGGCATTGTCCTGGACCTGGACTTAGAAAAAGCACAGAACATCCCTCTGATGTCTCCATCGCTTGGGTTCATGGGGTGCTCTGGGGCTACCTCTCAGCTCGTGGCAAGGCCAGGATAGCTGTTCTTCTCCAGCTGCACCATGTCCCTGATGTCCCCATCGAGGTGGCCCTTGTGGTTGCTGATGTTGCCCAACGTCAGGGACACAGATGTTTACCTTGCTCCGTGCTGCCTTGCTGGTGGCCGTGGCTTGTGCCTTTGCGCTGTTGGGGCTGGTCCCGGCAGGAGAACCTGCTGGGTGGGGCTGGCTCTGCCCCTGGGCTCGCTCAGCATTGCTCCCCTTCTCTTGGCAGAAACATGGGATCCCGGTGCCTGTCACACCCCAGACGCCCTGGAGCATGGATGAAAACCTCATGCACATCAGGTGAGAGGGTGGGCGGTGCAGGGAGCTCCCGTGGCATGAGGACCCAGAGCCTGGGGCCCCAAATCCTCCATCCTATGTGGTCAGGACAGCCCTTCCCATTTCTGGAGTCCCAAGCTGCCCCACCACGTGCTGGCCAAGGGTGACCTCAAAACCTCCAGCCTCTATTTTTGCCCAGTTGCCCACGTCCCACGTGGCAGCATCCATCTCCTGGGCTGTCCCAAGCTCAGCACTCCATGCAGGGTTGCTGCTAAAAGCCCCTGGAGATCCATAATGTGTATTTACACTCATTCTCGCAGAGTGGTGGGAGTGGGGGGCAGTCCTGGTGGGTTTCAGAGTTGTGTTGCAGGTGCTGCAGTGACTTCTCTCTCCTTCCCTGTCTGCCGCAGCTACGAAGCTGGGATCCTGGAGAACCCCAAGGTAATCCATCACGGCCGCC